CCACACCCTCCACACCCATCCACACACCACCTCCCCCCCTTCCATCCACGACTCTCCTCCACCCCCCACCAACCCGCACCCACCCAGGAGACTTCCCGCTGTTCGGAGTGCAGGCTACAGCCCCTCACGTGCTGTTGTTTACTTCTGTAGATGTGACCTGCCCAATGCCGGATTCCTACAGCCCACAGTATGTCGAAGCAGCCTGGTACCCCTGGTGGGAAAAGCAAGGCTTTTTCAAACCCGAATACACGGTAAGTGTTGGACTAACAGGTTTACTGTGGGCGATGTAGCTGTCAGCCCAGCATGTGCTTCTGGAAAGTTCCACGGGGCAGCGCATCGCTGTTCCAGGGCCCACGGCTGGACTGCAGGGTTTGGCGCGCGGGGGAGCAGCAAGTGGATGTTGGCTGAATAGGGTGTCATGTTTGACAGTGACTATTTCCACAGCCGGCCAGCTCATTGCTGTTGGGATTTCCACTGACAGCTGCTCTCGTGAAATGTCTCGGGACATTTTCTTCTGTTCAAGAACAGGGGCTGGGAATCCTGTGGCGAGTAACTCCCCTCCTGGCTCCCCAAAGCCTGTCCCACCATCTACAAGGCACAAGGCAGGAGTGTGATGGAATACCCCCCACTTGCCCCTGGATGGAGGCAGCTCCAACAACACTCAAGAAGCTCGACACCATCCAGGACAAAGCAGCTCCCGCTTGATTGGCACCACATCCACAAACATCTCACTCCCTCCCCCACCGACGCTCAGTCGCAGCAGTGTGTACCATCTACAAGATGCACTGCAGAAACTCACCAAAGATCCTCAGGCAGCACCTTCCAAACCCACGACCCACTTCCATCCAGAAGGACAAGAGGCAGCAGATACATGGGAACACCAGCCCCCCGCAACTTCCCCTCCCAACCACTCCCCATCCTGACTTGGAAATATATCGCCGTTCCTTCAGTGTCACTGGGTCAGAATCCTGGAATTCCCTCCCTAAGGGACATTGTGGGTCAACCCACAGCACATGGACTGCAGCGGTTCAAGGAGGCAGCTCACCCCCACCTTCTCAAGGGGGGCAACTAGGGACAGGGCAATAAATGCTGGGCCCAGCCGGGGGTCCGGACACCGTAAAAGAATGATGGAGCAACAGTTTCAGATTCGATCTGTTTAAATCCGATTTGTGTTTGTTTCGGAGGCATGCGGATAAGATTCTGTTCTGTTTTTTTGACCCCACAGCACAGTATCTCGGAGCCGAACCCGAAGGGGACGTTTATGATCTGTATCCCTCCGCCCAATGTGACAGGATCCCTGCATCTGGGCCACGCTCTCACCAACGCAATCCAGGATTCTCTGACTCGCTGGTAATGCCCCTCTGCTGAGACCACCCCCTCCACTCCCACTGGGCCGTCTGCCTCCGATTAGGGAACGTCCCGTGCGGTGAGCGGTCCCCATCCGCTGACAGAAACCCCCAGACCCGCCCCCCTCCTTCAACAAAAAAATAACTGAAGCTATTTCGGAATTCTCCGCCGGTTGACGGACACGAGCAGTGAGCAGTCGGGAACGCGGGAGGCCTCAGGAGTAGGCCATTCCCCCCTCGGGGCTGTGCTGTCCTCCATCCACAAAGTTTGTAGCCAATCTGATCATGGCCTGGTTCCCTGCTGTTTCCACCCCTCCCCACCATCTGCCCCACGCTGGGATAATCAGGGCTATGCCATGCGCTCTGACTTGGATTGGGAATGCCGGGAAGCTTGGGGCAAATCCGGAGTGAGTTTGTTGTCCTGGTAGAAGGGGGGATGGTGGAGGGGAGACAGGGTTGTCGAGTGTTGTCGATTGTACACGGGTTGGGGGTGTGGGGGGGAGCTGCCCGATTGACAGACGTGTGGCCTGCGAATGCCCCTCGAAGAACCCGATCCCATACGTGGTCCCACAAGAGCCGCGATGCAAGCATTCCCTGTCCTTCCCAGCGGCTGCTCTCCGTTACCCGGAATTGAGCCCCGATCGGCAGACGGACTCCGGATCCGAGCCCTCCCGCGATTCCCCCGGTGTCCCCGCGCCCCCATCTTTCCCAGCGGCCGGGGCATTCCCTGGTAGAGCGCGCTGACTGGGGTCCTGTCCGCTCCTCCTCCTCCTCCCTCCTGGTTTCTGCTCCTGTCACCCACCAGGCACCGAATGCGCGGAGAAACCACCCTGTGGAACCCGGGATGTGATCACGCTGGCATCGCCACACAGGTAGTGGTGGAGAAACGGCTGTGGCGCCAGTCCAGGAAGACCCGGCACGACCTGGGCCGGCAGAGCTTCGTCGAGGAAGTGTGGAAGTGGAAGAACGAGTGAGTACGGCCGTTGGCACTTCCTCTGTGGGGGGGCTGCACAGGCCAGGAGCTCTCTGATTAGTTTGCAGTTCCATAGTGGATGGCAAGGTTGGAGCCCCGTGCTGTTTTGTGACTGTGGGTCTTGTCTCCTGGGGCTGGCGGATCTCCGTCTTGTTGGGATGAGGGGATGGCCATTGCTGGCTGGCCCCAGCATTTATTGCCCCGTCCCTAGTTGCTCCCCTTGAGAAGATGGGGATGAGCTGCCTCCTTGAACCGCTGCAGTCCATGTGCTGTGGGTTGTCCCACAATGTCCCTTAGGGAGGGAATTCCAGGATTCTGACCCAGCAACACTGAAGGAACAGGGATATATTTCCAAGTCAGGATGGGGAGGGGCTCGGAGGGCACTTTGCAGGGGGCTGGTGTTCCCATGTATCTGCTGCCCCTTGTCCTTCTGGATGGAAGTGGGTCGTGGGTTTGGAAGGTGCTGCCTGAGGATCTTTGGTGAGTTTCTGCAGAGCATCTTGTAGATGGTACACACTGCTGCGACTGAGCGTCGGTGGGGGAGGGAGTGGGATGTTTGTGGATGTGGTGCCAATCAAGCGGGAGCTGCTTTGTCCTGGATGGTGTCAAGCTTCCTGAGTGTTGTTGGAGCTGCCCCCACCCAGGGGCAAGTGGCAGGGGGGAGGTATTCCCTCACACTCCTGCCTTGTGTCTTGTAGACAGTGGGACAGGCTTTGGGGAGTCAGGAGGGGAGTTACTCACCACAGGATTCCCAGCCTCAGTATCTACGTGGCAAGCCCAGCACAGTTTCCTGCCAATGGTAACCCCCTGGACGTTGATAGAAAGGGGAATGCATGGTGCTAACTGGGGAAGGATAGTATATACTGGCTCAGCCCTTGACTGACCAGTGAGTTTAAAAACAAAATCTCTCGTGTTGGATATGGTCGTTGCTTGGCATCTGTGTGGCATAAATGTTACTCATCATATTTCAGTCCAAACCTGGATATGGTCCAGATCTTGTTGCATTTGGGTTCGGGACTGGCTCAGAGTCCTCAACCCCAAAGACTGCACTGACGTGGAGCAGCGCAATGGCCCCTGACTGCACAGCAGGATCCCACGGTTCCCGTTCCGTTTCTGACCTGGTTTGGGATGTCATTCGGGGCTGTCGGGGATCCCCCCTTCCCTGCCTTGGGTCTTGGAGCTAACCCTGAGCCACTTTGACGCTTTGTCCAGGAGGACAGGGTGGCACTCCCTTGGCACCGTGGTGGTACTGTCCGCTGAGGCGCAGTGCTCTTGCGTGGGCCATACTCCATCCCCGCCGAGCCGCAGCCAGTATCGGAGATCTGGAGGGAACCCTGACCCATGTTTGTTTTGGGTGGATCCACATTGAATGCAGGGGACTGCCTTGCGGTTTTGTTTTTATTAATGAAACTCTCGGCCTGGCCCGCGCTCTCCTAACTCCCTGCCTCCTTCCTTGGGCAGGAAAGGCGACCGGATTTACCACCAGCTGCGGAAACTGGGCTCCTCTCTGGACTGGGATCGTGCCTGCTTCACCATGGACGCAGTGAGTATTCCGGGACAGGCTGCTATCCGCTGAGGGGGATGGTCTGGGATTAGGAATGACTCTGCAACTCTGCTCCCAGCCCTGTCCTCCCGTTGTGTCGTTTCTCCAAGGATGGAGTTGGCAGTGAGATGGTATCATCACTGGACATGTGACCCAGGACGGAGACGCCGGGTTCGAATCCCAACACAGCCCCTGCTGAAATTGAACAAATCTGAAATTCCCAGCTCAGTAATGGGGGAAACTTCTGTCATTTGTCGTTTAAAAAAAAAAATCACTTGACCGTTAGAGAAGGAAATTTGCATTCCCTAAGTGACTGCAGTCTGTGTTGTTGGCTGTTTGTTCATGGGATGTGGGTTTTTTAAATTCCCTCATAGGATGAGGGCGTCGCTGACCAGGCAGCATTTATTGCCCATCCCTAATTGCCCAGAGGGCAGTTAAGAGTCAACCACATTGTTGTGGGTCTGGAGTCACATGTACGCCAGACCAGGTAAGGATGGCAGCTTCCTTCCCTAAAGGGCATTAGTGATGTAGATGGGTTTTTCCTGATAATTGACAATGGATTCACGGTCATTGTTAGATTCTTAATTCCACCATCTGCTGTGGCGGGATTCGAACCCAGGTCCCCAGAACGTTACCTGGGTCTCTGGATGAATAGTCCAGCGATGATACCACTAGGCCATCACCACCCCCACTGCCTTCCCTATTAGCAAGGCGCTCGCTTTCAGGGGCAGTAAGGGAACATAGAACATAGAACTGTACAGCACAGTACAGGCTCTTCGGCCCACAATGTTGTGCCGAACTTTTACCCTAAACCTAAGGCCTATCAGGGCAACGAATGCCCCTGACATCTGAGAGGGTGGAAAGGGGAAGACGGAAGGCGCTGTGTCAGTGATAAAAACTGTTAAACCCCCGACCACTGAGGCTTTCGTTCAGAGTCGAGACGAAAAGAGGCGTTTCTATACCCAGTGGGCAACAGTCAGGCTCCCTGTGCACCAGCCCCCATTCCCCCCACCAAAACTTCCCATTGTGGGGGGGATGGGGGGGGCGCATCGGGGACACGTTTTAGGCCCGGGGCATGCAGAATGCGATCTCTGTCTCAGGAGGTTACGGGGGGAGTGAGCAGCAAAATGGGTCAGAGGCAGCTCAGCCACAGTGGGGCAGCACGGTGAGGAGAATCCGAGGGACCGAATGGTCTCGGCCCGCCCCCCTATTCACGTCGTGAGCAGAAATCTCCTGTCGTTGGTCGTTAAGCCCCGACCCCGTGTTTGACCTGAAAGAAATGTTACAAAGCATTGTCCGTGGAGCTGTGGCTCGGGGGTAGGGGTTGGGGAGCAGGGTTAGTTTCGAGTCCGCTGTATGTTGTGGGGTGGGTCGGGGGGGCTTGGGCATTGCTGTACAGAGGGTCCCCTCCCACCCAACCACTGTCCCCACCCCCTCCCATCTGCTAGGGGGTGGTGGGGGTCAGCCCGGGACGTGAAAGATTAATGGGTGAGGTCTCCTCCTTCCACAGAAACTCTCGAGAGCGGTCGAGGAAGCTTTCATCAGGCTGCACGACGAGGGGGTGATCTATCGCAGCACGCGACTGGTCAACTGGTCCTGCACGCTCAACTCTGCCATCTCTGATATCGAGGTACTGGGCCTGCCCTGCTGGGCCTTTCCTAATCCCTGCACTTTTCTGTAAGGAGCAGAATTAGGCCACCGAGCCTGCCACCCAGTTTGATGTGTTTCTCAGCCCCATTCTCCTACCTTCTCCCCATAACCCTTGAACCCCCTGACCAATGAAGACCCTCTCATTCTCTGTCTTAAATGCACTCAATAGCTTCACCCGCTTCTGTGGCAGAGTCCCACAGAGAGTCACCACCCTCTGGCTGAAGAAATTCCTCCTCATCTCAGTTCTAAAGGTTCGCCCCTTCTCTCTGAGGCTGTGCCCTGGTCTCTCCTACTCATGGAAACATCTTCTCCATGTCCAATCTACCCAGGCCTCTCAGTGTTCTGTAAGTTTCAATCAGATCCCACCCCCTTCATCCTTCTAAACTCCATTGAGTACAGACCCAGAGTCCTCACCCACTCCTCGTGACAAGCCCTTCGTCCCTGGGATCATTCTTGTGAACTTTCTGTGGACCCCCTCCAAGACCAACATACCACCTCCTCCTAGGAGGAGACCAAACCTGCACACAATACTCCAGGCGCAGTCTCACCGCGGCCCTGCATAATTGCAGCAAGACATCCCTGCCCCTGTACTCCATCCCCTTGCTCTAAGACCAGCATCCCATTTGCTGATGTCACCTCCCACTGCCCCTGCATTCTTGCTGTTGGTGACTGGCGCACAACGGACCCTCAGGTCTCACTGGGTCTCCCAGTCTGATGCTATCCAATAAGAATTTGCCTTCGTGTTTTCGCTATCCTTGGTTATTCAGTTCCTGTCCTTGGTCACCCTGCCACGTTATGCACGGTGGCCCTGTTTGATTCCAGTGGAATTGTTTTTTATATTCGTTCTTGCAACGTGGGTGTCACTAGCTGGGCCCAGCATTTACTGCCCCGTCCCTAGTTGCCCCCCTTGAGAAGGTGGGGGGTGTGAGCTAACTTCTTGAACCACTGCAGTCCATGTGCTGTGGGTTGACTCTCAATGTGCCTTAGGGAGCGAATTCCAGGATTTTGACCCAGCGATGCTGAAGGAACGGCGATATATTTCCAAGTCAGGATGGGGAGTGGCTCTGGGGGGATGGGGGTGCTGGTGTTCTCATGTGTGCCTTGTCCTTCTGGGTGGGTTTTTGGAAAGTGCGCATTTGAAATATTCCTGAAAACTAATCTGGAATAACTGTTTGAGCAGCTTGTCCCAACGATCTCTCTGTTGCTTGTGTGACGCAGCCCGGGACAGTGGGCAACACTGAGGGGGGGTGGGGGGTGTGGGGTGCGAGATGAGATCCGACGTGATGGTAATTGAATGGCGGAGCAGACCCGAGGGGCTGAATGGCCTTCCCCAGCTGCTAGACCTTGCGTTCTCACCACGCAAGCACCAAAGTGGTTCTCTGCATTGATAGAGCAGCAGAAAGTTGGAGGGGGTCTGCTCACGAAGAGCGGGACGGGGAACTGGTCAGGAGTTTCGGGTGGTGGGGGTGGGGTGGGAAATGGAGGCAGCTCTGTTCCCGGCCTGGGTGAGAATCGCGCTGAGGTGTGTTTGCCTCCTCCTCAGGTGGACAAGAAAGAGCTGGCAGGACGGACCCTGCTCCCTGTGCCCAGTTACAAGGACAAGGTGGAATTCGGGGTCCTCGTCTCCTTTGCCTACAAGATCGATGGGTCGGGTGAGTCGCGCTGTTCCTGGCCGGGCGCTCGCGGCTTTGGATCGGGGCGGGGGGTTGGTCAGCGTGGCTTTTCGGTCCTGCCAGATTCCATCCGGGCGTAACAGTGCAGTGTACTGTCGCGTGGAGATTGGCCATTTGGCCCATTAAGCCCTCTGCTGTCTCATTACAGATGAGGAGGTGGTGGTGGCTACCACTCGCATTGAGACCATGCTGGGCGATACCGCAGTTGCTGTGCACCCTCGGGACCCCAGATACCAGGTAACACCCAGAGCAGGGCAGGGTGGGGAGGTGGGTGGGGGCTGTCAGATAAACATAGGAGGGAGCCCACAAGACCATCAGAAACAGGAGTCGGCTGTTTAGCACCTACAGCCTGCTCCACCATCCAATAGGGTCATGGATGGGGCCTCACGTCCCTTGATTTCCCAACTTGATCACGAATCTATCTGGAATATGAGCAGGAAACCCGCTCCACAGTATTTGAGGTCTCTGACCTGTGTAACTGTGTAAGGTAAAGCCCCTCACACTTAAAAGGAACTTCAATAACGAGACTGTGTCTCCCGGTTTGCACTGTAGGTTATCAACTGGGGAGGCGATGGCCTGGTGGGATTATCGCTGGGCTGTTAATCTCTGGATTAACAGGTAACGTTCTGGGGACCTGGGTTTGAATCCCGCCACAGCAGATGGTGGAATTCACCCTAGCCTGTGCACATCTTTGGACTGTGGGAGGAAGCCGGAGCACCCGGAGGAAACCCACACAGACACAGGGGAGAGAACGTGCAGATTCCACACAGACAGTCACCCGAGGGTGCGATCGAACCCGGGTCCCTGATGCTGTGAGGCAGCAGTGCTAAGCACTGAGCTGCCCCACCTTTTTGGATGCTGAAAGGCAACAAATCACCTTCCCTTTAGTTTTTAGCCAAGTCTCTGACATCTGTGTCCCCTCCGCCCCACGGAACCAGTTTCTCCTGCTCAGTCTGACCCTCCCCTAACGTGGTTTCGCATCCTGTTGTGTAGAAAGGAGGTAACCAGTGGGGAAATGGGAGAGGGAACAGCACCTTCAGGGAATTTTATACTTCATGGTACAGCTCACCACTTTTCTCATAAACCTGAAGTGAAAATTTTTTGTTTTTGCTGTCTTCCCTGTAGAATTTGAAAGGAAAGTTTGTCGTTCATCCTTTCTGCAACCGAAAAATGGCCATCGTCTTCGATGAGTTTGTGGACATGAGTTTTGGAACAGGTAGGGTCCCCAGGGCCCCTCTGGTACAGCAGAAAGCAGGCGAGGATTTGGATTTGAGTGTGAGTGTGAGTGTCTGTGCACAGCAAGCTCCCACTAACAGCAACGTGACCAGGTGATCCATTTTGGGAATGGTTTCTGAGAAGGTCAGTAGTCACTGGTTGCTGACACTGTGTGTGCGGACCTTACCACTGCCTGGATCGCCTCCATCACTGCATCATCCGTAAGCCCCTCTCTCTCCGACATCCAGAGCAGCAGAAATTCCCTCGCAGTTCACTCTCGGGGAAGATCATTGTTGGTTACTGGGGAAAATCCCATCTGGTTCGCTTATGTCCTTTTAGGGAAGGAATGCGACTCCAGACCAGCAGCAACAGGGCAGTTAGGGATGGGCATTAAATGCTGGTCTGGCCCAGCAATATGCAAGTACTGTGAGTGATTTAAAGAAAAACTTTTGTTCATTTACCTCCGTCCCGTCGATTAATTTAAATAAAATGACAATGCCCCTCTCCCCGAGGACAGTATGTACCTGTTTTTTTTTAATCCCAGCAACATTCCCTCGACGCTGTCCAGGCTGGGTCAGACATGATGGTCTCTGGGAGGGCGAGTGGGGCGTTACTTGTATTTGTGACAAATTGCAGGTGGATAGTTCTACCATGTTGGCGAAATCTTGAAATATTTGGGGGTTGACTTGTGAGAGCAGTTGCCTGGCATCTGTCGAACTGTTTGTAATGTTAGTCTTTGCTCTTGTTTTGAAAATTAGGGGCCGTAAAAATCACCCCAGCTCACGACCAGAACGATTATGAAGTGGGCTTGAGGCACAATCTCGAATTTATAAACATCATGGACGATAATGGCTTTCTGATCAACGTCCCTGAGCCGTTCTTGGTAACTATGGGCTGTCTTCCCACTGGGATTTCACAGTTTGTCACAGTAAGGAATGTCGGTACAATTACTGAGTCGCAGGAAAGGCACTGTGCAGAAAGAGGCCATTCGGCCCATCAGGCCTGCACCAGCTCTCCAAGCAAACACCAATCCCCAGTGCCCAATCTCCTCTCTTTCCCCCTATCCCTGCTCCCCACTTCCATCCAGTGCCCCTCTGAGTTGAACCTGCCCCCCCCCC